GTAAGGCTGCTCCTCTCTTCTCTGCCAGGTCTCTCCCCTGTCGCTCACTAGGTAATCTACTCAGCCTCTAGGGCAGTGATTTTTCAACCCATGCCACAGCACAGAAGGTCTTAGGTATGCTGTGAAAATTTTTAAAGATCATAATTAAATCACTTTTGAAAGAAGTTCAAAGCGCAGGAAGTATATATATATTTATTTATTCTTTTTTTCATCAACATAATTTAAGTGTGCCACGGAAGTTTAACTACAGGTTCAAGTGTGCTGTGAGATAAAAAAGGCTAAAAATACTGTTAAGGGGGAAAACAAGAGTAGTATCGTATTGCCTTGAGTTCAAATCCAGCCTCCCCATTAAGGGCCTCTACTTAAACTGGGACAGACTCTGCCATTTTAAACTTCATTTTCTAGCACTTTATAAACTAAACCCATTTGTAAAAACAACATGCACTGCAAAGAATGTTAAAGGGAGTCCTCACTCAGTTTCAGCTGCGGGAAGCTCCTTAAACACAGGATCTCAGTGAATTTGTCCTCATCTGTGCCCCACCTGCTCTCACCGGCATTGTAGAGAATCTATCGGCGAGGGGAAGAAAACTTACATTACTACAGACATAATTCTTTCTCTTTTTGAGAGGTGGAATGAGAAGAGGGGCAGCCTTACTTTAGAGCTCAAGGGGATCCTCTAAGTCCCTCACTTTTAGCAGACCAGAAATCAGACAGTGGGGCTGGCAGGAGCCAGGCAGGGGGACTACCACTGGGGAGGGCAGAAAGCTGGGGCTGGGTGAATCCCAGGACAGGGAGGAGAGGGCAGCCCCAGTTGGTGCCAGCTTTCTCCCTATTCGCAGAAATGCAAAGGGCATCAAGTGCAGACCGTCAAAGGAGGTGTCTTCTTTGCTCTGTTACTGACCTGGGCATCTTTTTTGGCCAGATGTTCATCCACTTTCAGAGTTTCATCTCTTCTGCCCTAAAAGGGGATGGTGAAAACAAGGGCAATCCTTTTAACAACAGAGAAAAGCCTAATTCTAGTTTTGCTCTAGTTGAGGCCGTGTAGCACAGAGAAATCAGGCGTTCTGAGTTCCACTTCGGTCCTGCCACTGACTAGTCACGAAATCTGTAGCAAATCACAAAATGTAGGGGGCTCACTTCCCTCCTCTGAAAACTGAGATGTCTTAAGAGGATGACGATAAGCCAGACTGGAAGAAAATATTTGCAAAACATATGTGATAAAGTATGTACATTCAAATATATAAAGAACTCTTAAAACTCAGTAATACAACAATCCAATTAAAAATAGGCAAAAGATCTGAACAGATGCATCACCGAAGGACACATACAGAAGGCAGAAAGGCACGTGGAAAGATGCTTGACATCCTGTGTCCCTAAGGAATTGGAGATTAAAACAATAAGGTACCACTAACACCCAGCAGCACAGCTCAGTCCCACACACGGACAATACCAAACACGGGGCGAACGCCGAGCAAGAGAGACGCTCAGTGCTGGTGTCAACGCAAAACGCTGCAGCCACTTTGGAAATAGTTCTGTGGTTTCTTATAAAGCTAAATAAATTCTTACCATATGACCTCCTAATTGTGTTCCTTGGTATTTCCCCCTAACGTGTTAATAAACCTGGGCATGGATGTGAATAGAAGCTTTAGTCGCAATTGCCAGAAATGTGGGAGCAACCACGAGGCCTTCCGGTAGGTGAAACAAATATTCCAAGCAAAGGAGTATTATTCAGCACTAAAAAGAACTGAGCTATCAAGCCATGAAAAGACAGGAGGAACCTTAAAGGCTAAGTAAAGAAGCCAGTCTACCAGGGCTCCATACTGAGCGACTCCCGCTGTTAACATGGAACGTTCTAGAGAAGGCAAAGCTACAGAGACAGGAAGAGGAGCGGCTGCGGGTTAGGGAATGGAAAGGCAGGGCAGAGAGGGGAGGCTAGGGACACGGCTCGGTGTGACCTGCAGTGCAGACACGTCACATTATACGCTTGTCAGAACCCAGGAAACTATATGATACAAAGAGTGAGCTCCAATGTAAACTGTTGACTTCAGTTAATAATAATGTATCATTAACAGTATTTGTCCATCAACTGTAATAAACACACGGCACTGATGCACGGTGCTAGGGGAGAACGAAGGGAGGATGAGGGGCCTGTGAGATCTCTTTGTACTTTGTGCTCAATTTTACTATAAATCTAAAACTTCAACTTTTACTATAAATCTTAAACTTCTCTAAAAAGCAAAAACAAACAAAAAACCAAAACAAACCCTCAAAGGTCTCACACCACTGTAGCGTTGAAGGCTTGGGGTTCAGTCTGTAGGTGGTCATGCACAAATGTTTAAGCACCTTGTAGAAAGAGGGGAGACTGGGAGAACGGCATTGCCTGAATAGTTTGGAAATTACAGGTGCATGAAACATTTGGCTATAATATTTTTAAAAACGAATTTGTTCCTGTTTTCAAACTTCAGGTCCTCACGGGCCTGTGGGATTTTTGCCTGGTCTCCTTCCTGTGCTGCTGATAACTTTGCTGTGACTTCCCTTTGTTCTTGTTCTCTGTCATTCTGCTCTCTGCTCCAATATAAAAATGCTGCCTGACATTGGCCTTCTTTAGCATAAACCGCCACTGCGTTGAACACTACGTACGGTCACATACTCGCTATCTCTCTCGCAATCTTCACGACACCCCGTGCAGTTGGTACTATTAGTATTTCAGTTTTACAGATGCGAAACTAATGTTTTAAGGCTTAAAGTAACTTGGCCAAGTACATAAAGCTAGCAGGCAGAGTGAGACCCCAGCTCAGTTTGATTCTACAAGTCTGCCCGGAGCCGGCTCTCTACTGCCCCCGTGGGTATACGAGCTCATGTCCACACACGAATGGAAGTATGCTCAGGAATACAGGAGAGCCTCTGCAAGTTGACCACCCAGGGGACTGTAACAAACTAGTCGGCATATGGTGGTGGTCGACACAGGAACTGGGTCTACTGTCCTGATACATCCATGTGGTACATGTCTGGGCTATGAACACTAGGTCAACTTCAGGAGGGGGGTGATGATCAACTACTGTACACACCTCTGAGATGCATGTCTGCACCTATGCTTCATAGATTTCAGTTTGTGGTTCAACTTTAGTAAGGTTTTCATCATTTAAAACAGCTGAAACCATGATTAAGATCAAGTGATTCCTAGCAGAATAGTGGCTCACTTTGACAAATGCTGTTTCAACCATTCAGCTAACTGTTGTTACTGGGATTTTTCTCTCCCACATTAGGAGATGTGTAAATCAGCTAAAAGAAATTGGTGAGAAACGGCTTAAATCACTTCCTCTCTTATACACGCCCCTGTGACTATATCTTATCCCTGAACTTACCACCTTTAAAATCAAAGTTATGAGCTTTCTAAAAAAAGAAACAGAGGTGTGACCTCATTTGGTCACATGGTGATTGATGGCTCAGTAGCTCTTCCAAGATGGCAAGGATGAAACTGCAGTAAATAATTTCTTTTTTTTTTTTAATCCCGAGACTGACACCCATCTTTAAATTTAATATCTATCTCTGAAGATAATTCCTCTTTTATTTTTTTAGAAGCTGGGACAACAGGTGTCCACCACAATGCCTGGCTCTTTTTTGTTGCAGTTGCCACTGCTGTTTTAGCTGGCTGGGTCCAGGTTTGAACCCTCGAGTGGGTAGGGTGCCGGCCACCCTTGGTACATGGGGCTGACGCTCTACCCACTGAGCCACAGGCACTGCCCCCAAGATAATTCTTCTGTATCAAGCTTCCTACTTAATTTAAAAGATAACAGAAGAAATACATATTCTTCGGAGTCTAGAATAAAATAAACATGTTATTTTAAAATGGAGGCACTTATAATGGAAATGAATAATTATTTATGTCAGATGAGCTATCAGAACATTTTCTAACATGTTATGAAACCTGATCAAAGTACTTCCATATACTGATCGAACACTTTTTCTTGTTGCTGTTGTTATGTCGTTATATAAAGTTTTATGATCTTGACTGAACATTATATTGCTTGGTGGCAATGCACATGTGAAGTAAATAAAGCATTTCATAAGGAAAACTGGAATCTCATTGTCTCAGTTTGGTTATATATATATTTTTTTATTTTTTTGAGACAGAGCCTCAAGCTGTCCCCCTGGGTAGAGTGCAGTGGCATCACAGCTCACAGCAACCTCCAACTCCTAGGCTCAAGCGAGTCTCCTGCCTCAGCCTCTCAAGTAGCTGGGACCACAGGCGCCTGCCACAACGCCCAGCAATTTTTTGGTTGTTAGGGGATCCAGGCTGGATTCGAACCCACCACCTTAGGTGTATGTGGCTGGCGCCTAGCCGCTTGAGCCACAGGTACTGAGCCAGTTTCATTATTTTTAAACTCCTTAACAATTAGTATTAATTAATTAGCTGAGCGTGCAGCTTATTGACAAGTTAAAAAATAAAAGCTTACATCTGCCAAAGTCAACAGAGCTTTCCGGAAGTCTCCAGACGTTTCAGAACTAATATCATCTCCAAGACTCTTCTTATATGCTGAAACCAAACAAGAATGAAATTAAGCCTTGATAAGATGAAAAATATTATTATAAAACAGAGACAAGTTTAAATGCCAACACCAGCAAGGAGTGAGTAGCTGCTGAAATTAATCTTGCTTTTTTATTTAACTTCCTGGCGCTCTCTGTTGGGAGAGGGATATGCTCTTCTTGTGGCTATTAACTGTACGGTGTGTTGTGGCAGATAAAAAAGAAAAGGAAGACTTGCCATCTTGGATCAAATCATGGTTCATTTCATCTGACAATGGCACTATGAATGCACAGTGGGAGAGCGGGGGTAGGCAAGCCACTAGTGTGCCTTCCAATTTCCAGGGTCACCTTCTTCTATAGTAGCAGAACTAACCTCTAGCAAGTCACAAAGCTTAAAAACTATATTCTCAGCTTTCCTCTTATCCAGGTACACCTTCATAACTCATTTCTTTGCAATTGGCAGACAAATGTGACTTTGTTGGGAAATTTCCTTAAAGGGATGAACCGTGCCCATCTTAGCCCTTCTTCCATTTCACAGCTTTTGGACACAGACTGATGCCTGGATCTTGAGCAGCCTTCTCAGACTAGGATGATAAGGACGCATCTCAGCCAAGGCATAAAAGGAATCAGGAAGGGCCCTGAGTTCCTGAAAGTTTTGAGGAGCAATTGTACTAGTCCTAGAACTTCTCAGCTCCAGACTTCTCCTTGCATATGATAGAAATAAACGTCGATCTTATCTAAGCCACTTTTATTTTTTGTTTTATTGAATCTAACCCTAATCTTAATGAATGCAAATTAGATTATATTGTTTGGTATCTCTCAAAAGTAAGAAAGCTACCCCAAAGAGCACTATTTCCCTTCACAAAGGCCAACTGTGTGTTCACGTATTTTGGCACCAACTAGTTGTAGGCCCTTTCGCATGGCTGGTGACATGCCATGCCCATCAGTTTTTTTTTTTTTTTTTTTTTGACACAGAGCCTCAAGCTGTCCCCCTGGGTAGAGTGCCATGGCTTCACTGCTCACAGCAACCTCCAACTCCTGGGCTCAAGCAAG